GCAACGTGTCCTCTACATCATGCCCCCCCCCCACGTCCAGCTTCCATTGGTTCAGGCCTGACGTTTATATCTTCACATGAATATATAAGAGGAGTCAGTGCCTTTTTATTTGGTTTGTCCCTCCGCTTTTTCAGTTCTTGTCCATCCTCACATATCGCCCTTGTGTTGGTTGTGGTTGTTTTTTCCGTTTGCTGAAGTCTGTGAACGACAGCATTGTCACATGAGAAACTCGGGGTGTAGTGTGGGGTGGCGGGAATCCGTCCGTTCGCACCTTTGACTCAGGTAGGTTACCGACCATTCCCACGTTCTGTGTGCGATTCCTTTCATGCTGACGTTGAACTTCTCTTCTCGAAAGTGCGAGAGTGACGCAGTAAAAACCAGAATTTACGGCACTAATCAGTGGTGAGACGTGCCGTTACGGAAGCAGCCAGAAAAAGATGTGGGATCACGTGACGTGCACCGCCCAGCGGGGTCCTGACAGCAGGGCACGGCGCACCGAGCGCCCAGCCATGAAATCCGGCCTCCAGCCTTCTTGCCTGGTTGCTAGGCAACTGGTGTTTATCAACCAGTAAAGCAGAACTCAATATTTCCAAGCTAAAAATACAGGGACCTGTCACCAGAAATGGTTGTTTTATGACTGTGTGGTCTCGGGGGGGTCGCTGATGCAAGCAAACAGGTGTGGGGGTCAGACAGGTGTCACTTTTCCAAACTGTGGACCTCAAGCACCTGCCTGAACCCTAAGAATCTGGCCCTTTTACAGCGAGTGTAGGCTGCTGCCCCCCCTCCCCCCCCCCTAATGTTTTTTAGCATGGAGGGGGTGAATTAGTTTGTATTTGTGCCTATATGTGTTTATAGAGTGTGGGTTTTCATGAAAGGAGGCAAAGGAAGGCCTGTTTCTTACAACCCACAACAGAAAGCAGTCGATGGAGAGTTTTATTAAACGGGGGCTCATGGCCCTCATCTTCATTGTATCCTTGGAAACCGCGGAAGCGAATGGGAAGGAAGCGAGCTGCTGAAGCAGGGAAGTCACTGGAACTTCCCGCTATGTTCATCTATCGGATCCTCCCGCGCTCCAGTCTTAATCGGCACTTGTCTGCTCCTCATTAATTTTTCCTGCTGATGAAAATCTGGCGCTGAAGATGGATGCATCTGACTGCGACGCTGCTGCACTGAAACATGCGTTAAATTAAGGAAACTACATTTGTCTTTGAAGAAACGACACCAGTTCCTATGAGTATTCTGCTTGTACGTGAGGTCTCTCACACTGAATTAGATGTTGATTGGAGTTCTTCTTTTGTTTTTTTCCCCTTTGTCCTTTTGGGGGAATCTTAACTGTTTGTTTTTTACCCTGTGAGCATGTGAGCATATTTTGAGACATACCTGTTTTTTTGATTACTGAACTGTTTAGTTCATGTTCTTAATTACGGGCCGCTTGAATGCACGGGATCCTCCTGGCCATGAGGGGGCAGCGCCGCTCTCCTCTCCATGATTCCTTGCATTTGATCAGTCTTGAGCCAACGGTGACGAGCGTGTGTGGTGAGATGTGGCGTTCCCAATTCCAGTTGGTGGGATTTTCCTGCCCGTCGGCTTATATGCTGGTAACCTGTGTGCGTGCTGATGATGGGGTAGTTTTGCAAACTGTTACCCAATTGCTGTGGACAAGAGAGAACACCTTTTTTTTGCAAAAAGCCTTCAGATGCCTTCTGAAACCTGTCATTCATTATGTTGCTTGAATTTGGATCACACAGAAAGGTATTATGGGTAATTCCCCAAAGCTCCACTTTAAACCGTGTTTAAGCAGTTCAGGGGTACGCTTCTTAAGGACGGGCTTTCCTGAGATTGTACTCCCAGCTCTGGTTGTGCCCAGTTGCTGACTGTCGCTATCCCGCTCCCCCCTCCCCCCTCAAGCTCGCAGCCTCCAGCTCAGCGCATGGGAGAGCAGCATTGTGGATCGCCTGATGACCCCCACCCTGTCTTTCCTGGCGCGCAGTCGCAGTGCCGCCAGTGTTCTGAGCAACAGCAAAGATGCCCGTGAGTATCATGCTTCGCCTCACTGTTACTCTGCCCTCTAGTGCTGGGTGTGTAGGGATAGTGTATTATAATCCTGTTTAGTGACTATAGTTATTTGATATGGGTGCCACGGATACTCCTGATGATTAAGTAAGCTGTTTTACTCGTGCTACCACTGTGCCACATTCAATTCGGTATGTTTTATATAGCACCCTGCAACATAACTGGCCTCAAGAACTTCATTCTGTTAACACATAAGCCGATAATTTATTAGCATTAGCCATTAAATTTTGCCACCAGCTAAATCAGTCAGTCAATTAATTAAATAACCTAATAAGTTATTCATTAGCCAGGCATGGTGCGTTTGACATAATATCGTAGTTTTACGTCGTTCATTTAAACCTCTTTTTTTTTATTGCCTAAGACTTTTACACAGTACTGGTGTACTTTAAATTACCAGGTAAAAAAAAAAATTGGTATTTTAACATTAGAATCGATTGGCAAAATGAAACATTCAGATCTAAAGAATCGATGTTCGGTACTGATCTGCACATCCTTAGCGCCGGAACAAAAAACCCTATCCCAGGACTCAAACTGGCAGGCACTCTAACGATGTACAACTTGCGTAAATCATAAGTGAATTTTTATTTCGGGTATACTGATGGAACTTTATTGACATTTATCAAGTGGTTTAAGCCAATCAAAAAGCAGTGAAGGTTTAAGCCAATCAAAAAGCAGTGAAGGTTTAAGCCAATCAGAAATAGGGTAAAACCAGTGTCTATATTATCAGTGAATTACCATTTGTGTCTTGTGACCCCTTATGCCCAGGGTCGCCCTTGTGCCCTCGTTCCTCGTCCGCCAGCCCCCTGACCGCCTGCAGTCACCACCACAGGGCGTATCATCGCTCGTCCGAGCGCTGGAAGGTGTCCACCAGCACGCCCGATATCACCCAGCGCCAGCGGAGGCGGGACTCCACACCGGTCAGTCGTCAGTCAAACCTCCAGTCGAGCAGCTTCATAAAGAATCAAACTGGCATGTGCTGTGCAATAAACATGGCCTAAAGGATTATGGGAAACGTGGTCTCTCTCGTGGAATATTCTGCTGTAGATCTTAACCCTGCCCCCAAATTTGTATATTACTTATATTTCATCCCACATATATTCCGGGTGTCTGTACACAGATGGAGAAGAAAAAGAAGGAGAAGAAAGACAAGGAGCGGGAGAATGAGAAGGAGCGCAGCGCCCTGACGAAAGAGAAGGTCCTGCGGAAGAGGCAGTCCCTGCCCAGCCTCAAACACAGGCCCGAGCCCAGGTACCGCAAGCTCCGCATTACCTCCCCAAACCCTGTCCCCTTCTGCTGGTGACTGACAGACCCGCACCCTTGTCTCAATGATCAGAGGCTGCAAACAGCCAATCTGGGCTTAGCGGGTCAGCGCCTGTCAGTCTGGGCCAACGGCCGTTTGTGATTTATAGAGCCGCCGAGGGCTGTATGCCGTTTGTCCACAGTTCTGGTTCAGTTCAGGGAGCTCTGATGGCGTGTGTGTGGGAACATTACTGCTGGAATGTTTCCGGAACCAAGATCCAGTGGAACAAACATGTCCCCTTGACAAAACTTTCCAGCCAACACAGACAGTGCCCAGTGTGTACAGAACACAAAACTTGCTCACGCCTGTGCTGCGTTTGGTATTGATTCCGTAGTTTGGTCCCAGATTGGTCCATGATGTCTGCTCTCCATTCCATGGCTGCTTGTTTGCCTTGGCGCCTTGCCGGATTCATAATACTCCAGAATCTTTAAGTCCTGTCCTGTCCTGTCCTGTCCTTTCCAGCACCAGTCTCCTTGCCAAACACCGGACCGCCTCCCCCGCCGCCACCAAGGGCCGACCCGCCTCCCCAAGCCCTGCGGTGTCCCCAAAACCCACCACGGTCCGAGCAACCCCACCTGCCAGCAAGCCCCGCCCAAAGAGGTCCCAGACCCCTGCCCGCGTGGAACCTCGGACGGCCTCCCCCGTCGCCGTGGAGAAGGCCCGGTCCGGCACCCCCGAGGAAGCCAAGAGTAAGTCCGTTGCCATGGATACTTTGTTGTTAGCATGATGTAGTAGTGTAATATTAGGCTAATGTAAGTTCAGGTTTTGGTGTTTATTTGTATCCTGAATGACTGACAGGTTTGGAGTTTCCTATATCTGTCGTAAGACGTAACTTGGGCAGGACAGGGGACTGAATAAATGGTGGATAGGAACAAAACTAATGCAAACCAGTAGCTAAAGTTGCTCTCCACTTATAAATCCCCCCAACCCCCCCTCACCGCCACGGCTGGAAGACGGGTGCTGTAAAGCGTGACTGTTGACAGAGCGTGACGGCGTGAGCAGACAGGGCTAATTAAGAAGCCATTATTGAGTAATTACCGTGCTCGTCCTTCCAGTTCAGGGCCGGAGTGCCCTTGAGGGCCGGCTGCAGCGCCTCCGATGCCAGATCCCATAAACAGGCGTCGTGCGGAATGTCAATGAGCCCATCTGCATGCTGATCATGAACTGCTGTGGGTGTCGGTGACGAGACCTGCTTCTGAGAGGGACTTGTGGTCTCTCCAGCGGAAAGCTCCACCCCTGATTGTTTGTGCCCCACCCCCTTCAGGCTCTGCCCCCATCCCATCTGTCGTCACGGCGTCGGCCTCGGTTCCGCCCCCTTCCGTGAGTGCGCCAGTCACGGTGCCCACATCTAAGGCAGTGCCCGAGCAGACCTCGTCGGACGCCGGCTCCCTGCCTTCTGTGCCCGCCCTGGCCCCACCCCCCGCCCCCGCCCCGGCTGCAGCTGTGGCTGTGTCCCCGTCCGGCAAGCCCACAGCGGGCACCACGGACCCAGGGGAGGCGGCCCGCATACTGGCAGAGAAGCGGCGGCAGGCGCGCGAGCAGCGCGAGCGGGAGGAGCAGGAACGGCGAGAGCAGGCGGAGAGGGAGCGGTGAGGCCCCGCCCATCCATCTCACCAAGCCCCCCCCACACACGCACACACACACGGGCTTGTAGACTAAGAATCACTCAGCTTACATCTTGTCGGAAAAAGTACAAATTGGTCTGAAGGACTGAAACTGGGGTATATAAGAAGGTGCATAAGGGTATAACTGAAAGTTGCTGGTTCGAATCGCACAAGGGGCTGGATGTTGTACCCTAGAGCAGTGTTTCCCAACCATTTTTCTGCCATGGTGCACTTTTCATAAGGTATTTATCCCAGTGCCACCATTGATTTAACACATACTACTAATCAGCTGTTAGTAATAACATGTATCACATTGCTCTTAATCTGCTGGCTCAGGATCAAGTATGTGTGTTTTTTTTTTTTTTTTTTTTTAATTTATCCATGATCTTGTGTTTTCACTAATTTCAGAATGGAAATTGTCAAACATATATATGTTCGGCTATCAGTTTTTATCGGTTTTATTCTGAGCTACGTTTCATTATGTGACAAGTGCGCTTTAAGTCTATTGGACTATTTAATGGATAAGAAGCCGTTTATACACAAAGCATTTTCTTCATCTAAGCCACTTAAAATATATTCATAATTGAATTATTAATACATATTTTATTTGGTTTATATATATTTGAAAGCATGTCATTCCTGGCTAATTCTAACGGCATACCGGTTGGAAAACGCCGCCCTAGAGCAGCATAATTAACTGACTTGGTTTCCCCAGATGAATTTACGTTTATATTTTATTTAGTAGTCGCTTTTATCCAAAGTGGCGTACGTTTTCTTGCGACAATCCCTGGAACATTTGGGATTAAAGGCCTAGCTCAGGGGACAACAATAAAATCACTTTGCCGGTTTCAAATGACCGAGTACTTAAATGTATGTGGCACACGGTAGGTGCCCTCTGTCGCTGGTGTGAAGGTGTTTTCCTCGGCCCGGGGGTGTGACTTGCGCTGTACAGTAGGGGACACACCGCTGATTTTGTGCAGATGCTAAGACGTCTCTCCTTCAGGGTGCTGCGTGAGGAGCGGGCGGCCCGGGCCGCCCAGGAGCAGCAGCGACGGGAGGAGGAGCAGCAGCGTCTCCTGGAGGAGCAGAGACAGCAGGAGGAGCGGGAGGCTCAGGAGAAGGCCCGGGCCGAGCAGGAGGAGAACGAGAGGCTCCAGAAGCAGGTGTGGGGAGGCGTGGCTTTAGGGACGTTCCCATAATAATCTGATCCGGATCGCCATGGTGACATCAGCCAACACACCCGCTAGCGGCTGCTCCTTCCCTCTAGCACACGACTTTCTGCTGGTTTTTCGTCTTGCGGGCCGTGTTGGGTGGGATTTAGTCTGCTGTGATCTGCAAGCCTTCCGTTCTGCTTTAGCTACTCGCCCCGTTTCTGTGATATCTTGCAGAACTTTCCGGGTCGTGTGCCTGAAGCTCCTCGACTCAGAGGAGCGTTTGTTTGCCCCCTACGTGGGCAGCATTTATAAGCCAGAGGCACTTTACAGTGACTCATCTGTAATCCACCATCCCGCCGCTTCCCCCTGGTGGCCAGATTATTACCCATGGCCACGTCGAAACGTTTTGGCTGATTTTAAAACATAAAAATGCACTTTTAATGTTAATGTTACCTTCGGCATCGGTTGGAGGAGCTCTTACAGAACTTCAACATCAATGCCCAAGATGTGTCTTCTGAGAATGGGGTATCTCACATTTTTGTCTTAGTTATGCAGTTAAATATTTAAACTGTATACCAGAGGGAAGAGGCAGAGATCAAGGCCAGGGAGGAGGCGGAGAAGCAGAGGCTGGAGAGAGAGAAGCACTTCCAGAAGGAGGAGCTGGAGCGTCTGGAGAGGAAGAAGGTAGGGGGGCACCTACCGGCAACAGCGCTTCACGCCCCAGAGGAGGAAACCACTGCCTTCCTTCCGTGGCCTGGTGCCCCGGGCCTTTGCTTTTGCTATCAAACGTCCCTGAATTTCAGCCTCATTCACATGTAGGTCAGTGTTTCCCAACCCAGTGCTCAGGGACCCTCGACAGTCCACAATTTTGCTCCCTCACGGCTCCTAGCACATCTAAGCCAAGTAATTATGGACACAGAGAACCTGGTGCAAGTGTGTTGGGAGCTGAGAGATAGTGATTAGCAAATGAAGCTTAATGAACCATTTGCTGTATTTTCTGTCCCCACTAGATGGTGCTCTCTGTTCAAAAAAGGGCAGAAAATACAGCAAATGGTTCATGAAATTTAATTTCATTACTGAGAGGGGGCAATTATGTCTGGGGGTCCCCAATGATTGGGATGGGAAACACTGGTGTACATGAGTGAAACGGATGAGTTATTATTGGCCATTGTGGTTGGTGTGATGTTTTCCTGACCATATTGCCCTACCAGCATGTCTCTTTACTTTCCCTGAATGTTCTTATGTTCCTCATGAATATCTTATTAGGTTACACCTGTACCTGGGCATTCTCTGGAAGCTCAGCCTATCTACATTTATGCCTAATTGACTCCTTGACAAACTGTATGTTCGTAATGAGCTATTTGCTTCGCTTGTATGTCGCTTTGGACAAAAGCATCTGCTAAACATGTGAACTGTTAAAATGTAAATGTATTCTGCTGTATCTAGTAGTGGATCGAGTGTGTCCAGGGTTGCCATGTAATTCTACATATGCATAGTTATGGTTAGGATTGTGGTTCTAACGACGCTTCCTCTGTCTCTGTCCCAGCGCCTCGAGGAGATCATGAAGAGAACCCGCAAGACAGATCCTGGGGAAAAGGTGCCTATATCTTCTAACTCGCCTCTCCTCCACTTCTCGTATTTAGATACATCATTCTTCCATTTCCAATCTGAACTGTCGGATTCTCTATTCACAGAAAGACGCCAAGACTTTGTCTCCGGCCCACATCAATGGAAAAGACGCCAAACCAGACTCTGAGAGCAATAAAGGTATCTTGAGTAACCGTCGTAGGCGCGCGTAATCACAGACGGCAGGCCTGTAATTCAGCTGCTTACTCACCCATTCATCTGGTTGTGGTTTGTCCAGACGGAGATCTGTGTGTGGCCTCCAGGCCCGAAACAAAGCCTTTCGTTTGCAGAAATTCATTAGCTTATTTTGGGCGCATCTCGTTTTTATTAAAATTCTGTTGAGGGTTTTTTAATGGACAGTAAAGAAGTTAAACTGACTCTGCAGAAATGAAAGCCGGATGCGCATGTCTGGGAGCCGTTCTGGCCATCAAAGGAGAGCATTGTATCCGGGCCGGTACCGGCTATGGGGCAGAAGACCAGCCCTCCTCGGGTGCTGCTTTTTGAGCTTGTTGATGGTTCCCGTGTGTCTCTGAGGTGGTGCTGTCCTGCTCTCCGTTTCCCCAGAACAGACTCTCCTCATGTTCCCTGGAGCTGTGTCTGCTTTCCTGCCGGAGCCGTTTTGGGTGCTCGCTTCGGCCCTGTCCGTCCCCTGCTTTCCGCATGTTATTTATCCATTTGCCATACATTTCAGACTTATTTCATGCGGGGGTGTAGCGAGGCGTGGACAGGTCCAGCAGACACGGCGTGGTGGGGGGGTGCTGGTCATATCAGCCTTCTGGTTTGCAGCTGGGGAGGATCCCGGTTCTGTGGGAGATAAGTAAAACATAGGAGGCCTCCTGAGATGTGCTTGTGGATGCAGGGATTAAGACCTTGGATCTTGGATTAAAGTCTCATGGTCCCCAGACAGGGTGGTCCCGTCCGTCCTCCTCCTCTGTCGAAATTTCAGTGGAAAATCCCCTTCCTCTCAGCCAGAATGAACATCTTGTGAGCCCAAGATTGTTTGTTTGTTTTTTTTTATATTACTAAGCATAAACAGCTTATTAACTGTCCAATCTTAGGTGAAGGATGTCCAAGAAAAACCTAAATCTCTCTTTGAGATGTACGCCCTGAACATGCCTTCAAGATTCATGTTATGCCGTCTGTCCTCTTTTGTCAGTGATGGACTACAAACCGGGATCGGAGGCGGTGCTGTCCAATAGGGAAGCGGTGGACGTCCAATCACAGGGCAGCATCAAAGAGAGGTATACAGGAAATGCTTTCTCCTGTCTTTTTCCACTCGTATACTTTAGTGCTCTTCTATGTAAAGGCAGCAGATTAATCTGCAGTGGGTGTTGCTGTGAACACGGGCTCGGGAGCGCGCTAACCGTGATGCATTTGGTCTAACCGGACCAAATCCAGACTCTTATGGGACCGTGTGTGTGTGTGTGTGTGTGTTTGTGTGTGTGACAGAGAGACACAGAGAGTGAGTGAGAAAGAGAGAGGATTTTCCTGATAGAACGCTGTGAAGCATCCTGTTAAATGAGCTAACTAATTAAAAATCCGCCCAGAGATACAAGAGCCCAGTTTCACATTAGGCAGACAAAATACACAAGACACAAATTATACTCCAAAAATAAATACATTACATTAAAGTCTTAAGATAAATAGACACAAAGTCTTCATGGCTTGTCGGATCACGGAAACCCCACAAGGCATTGCAAAGTGTATAAATACCGCTGGTGGTCTCATTGGCCAGGATGATCATCACTGACCATCTGTGTGTGACATTACCCCCAGCCCCATGGTTCCGGTGATCAACGGTGTTCAACCGGCCAAGCATGAGAATGGACTGTCTGCCAAGGGGGAGTCGGCCGGCTTTGAGGAGATCATCCAGCTGTCCAATCACAGCAGTGGTGAGGGGCGAGACAAGTCTGAGACTGGCGTTTCTGCGGAGCCAATCCTGGCATTTGAGGCGGGAGAACCCTTCCTGAAGAAGGCGGGCTCTATTAAGCCTCAGCACGTCACAGGTATCTGGACAGGGAGGCACTGTTGGCCGTGTTTTCAAAGCCTTGCAAAGATCAAACGTAGAACTTGGTTGGATCATGGCATTGCCAACTGACTTGAGTGATGTTTCATGGTCCTTTTTAATCCTGAAGCAGAAATTCAGGTTGTTTTCCCCACCCAGACCATGCTCTCCATGAAGCTAAAGTTCATATTCTTAACATGCTGCCCCTTCTATGATTTCCTTGCTCTGCATGTAGTGTTGGGCCTGACGCAGGCTGTGTGGTTGACTTGCCCGTAGGACCATCTGTAGATGAGGAATCGCAGAGTCTTTGCGACACTCCGCTGGTTTTTACATAAAAATGAAGGCATTTGATGGGACGGATTAGGGGGCTTTTAGAGTCCCGGTGTCGGGGGGAGCCATGATGGTATTTTCCTTAAATAGAATGACTCTGATTAGTCGTGGTAAAACGAGGCTGGCATTTAAGTGAACCTTGCGGCTGACCCCCTGGCAGGCAAGGGCTCTGCCCTGTGGGACGTCCCACGAAGGGGGTGTTTAAGGTTGGCCTTCTAAGCACGCTGCCCGCAGAGGGTGCCAGGAAGGGCAGCTGGGATGCCCAAAGCGGCCAGCACCCCAGGCCAAATATGTGCCAATCCTCACATTTGTGTTATCGATGTCACCCCCTGCCCACTGTAGCCCCTCACCTGTTGATCTTGAAGACAGGCCTCTGGTCATAAATAAAGCACAAAACAAACAGGAGGTTTATCTCCGGGAATGCTTATCACCAGCTAGACTGCTGCGGATCTGCAGGATCTCTCTGCTTAGCTGACAGTTTTATTTCAAAGTCCGACGGGCTCAGAGCCACGTCCAAGATGGGGGAGGGCTTTGGATCTCAGCATGACTGTTACCGTACTTTCTTGTGAAGCTGCTTGTCTTGCCAGTAAAATAAAAACATCACCATTAATGGCAATATTAATGTCCCGCCCCCACACCCCACCTCAACTGAGTGCCTGTATGCTCTTGGTTCCTTTGCAGAGGTCCTTTGAGGTGTTCGTGTGTTCCAATCTTACAACAGCATCCGAGAGGTGCGTCCTCCCCATCACCACCGCCCCCCCCCTTGGCCCTCTCCTGCCTGTCTGCATACAGCCCAGCCCCAACCCCCAGACCCCTGCCCCCCACCCAGCTGACCTGTGCCAAACCGAGAGGCGGACCGCTCACGTCCGCGTGTCCGACTTGCCCATCCCATGGAAACCGCCTCCTGGAGGGGGTGGGGGGGAAGAGGATGAAAAAGCGAGGATGAGAAGACGACCCCAACGACGCCAACGGGCCGGGGAGGGGCCACGCCGACTTGAGCACGCGTCACGGTGCAGCAGTGTTACGTTTTATCAGTGTCACTATGGTCTTATGATGCACCTTACAGGACTGACCGCGTGACCTATTGTAGAAAAAAAAAAAACAGAGCTTAAAATACACACTATTTCACTATTACGATTATAATTATTGTTGTTATGATGAGTTTGACAAAGAAGCGTGTTGGTTATTTTGTCTTTCATAATTTAGTTATTTAACTTGAAGAGAATTGAAACTACTGGGTACCATATGGAGTTTGTGAATATTGTAAATGAATCTCAGTGTTGTCCCTGCCTGGGGGGAATCTGTGGAATAAAGGTTGACAGAGGGGCATGGCAGCCCAGTGCACCGTGTGTTTTTCTTACTGGCCAAGAACGCGCCGGCCTACATTCTTGGGGCCGCATTCAGTGACCTTTACAGTGCTGTCACGGTGAGTAGGTTATACACACATCGCTGTAGAATTTAGAATGTGGCGGTTAATTAATCCAGGGGATCCAAGGCTGATTAATTAAAGAGCTGGAAGGGGGGGGGAGCCTGTATCTTTTGGGACCACTTACCAAGGGAGAGGCGTGGCCTCCTTGGTGTCTGGAAGACGTCTGATTGGTCTGTCGTGAGTCAGCATGATTCCTGGGAAAGATTCCAGCGGCACCTTGATTCTGTGCTGGGGAAGGACTTAGAAGGTATATGGATGTTTATTAAACTACGCATGTCACATTTTACCAATCTGCAGCTTATATTTGCTTTGTAATGGTGGTGGCCTGGCAGCAGACCGGTCTCTGGCTTCACTGCTTCTCATGCTCTGTTCACTATCCATCAGTGTAGCTGCACTTTGTGGCCATTAGTCCAGTTATCTGGGTAAATCGTGTGGCAATCTCTGAAATGCATTAAATCCCACACCATCCGTGCATCACTGATTAAATCCAAGTGTGGTTTAATTGGGCATGGGCCTGGTACCAAGAGACGTTTTGAGCACAGATATTCTTGGCAAAAAACTACAAATATCTATTTCCACATTTACTTGTTTAGGAGAGATTTTCCAGTGTTGATATATAGTATTGTGTTCAACCCTCCATAGGAAAGCCAGAGACCCAAATAAAAACAGACTAAGGCTGGTGAAATCCCCTCCCTCACACGCTCCTAATAAGTGACTTAGTTACTAAGAAGTAATATTTCTTTCTCCAAGGGGGTCCCTCGAGTTTTTTTTTTTTTTTGCTTCGATCTGCCAATATTCAGTCAGTTTACAGCACTTTTCTACGAACCCCAAAGAATATTTAATAGGTTTGAAGTTCTTCCTTCTCGTCGAAACGGCGTGACAAATCTCCCGTAAATAACCATCACGTTCCACCCACCCTCCCCGCACCTCCCTCCCACCCTGCCCCGCCCCACCCCAATCTAACCCAGTCTTTATTTACCCCCCTGCCCTTTTGGTCAGAGCAATGTGTAATCGCATCTCGCACTGGGCCGCTAGCCCAGATTTCAGGGGCAGACTGGATCAGTGCCTCCCCCACCTAACCGAACACCCCTTCTGTGCTCAGTTGGGTCAGACAGAGAGTTCTGCCAGATGTGCTGTGAGTATTTTTGTCCTACAGGCTGGTACGGATGTGGCACCCAGAGTATAGAGTGTGTGACAGCTCCTTCAAATTATTTGTCCAGAACCCGTGGTCAGAATACGTCACTATTTACTCATTTTAATACTGCGCAAAGATGGCAAACAGAAAGACATGAACGATTATCCACCTGCCCTTTCCACTTCAGCGGGGTGAACTGCCGCATTCGGCTCCAGCGGAACCCAGAAGTGGTCCCGTAGACAGAGGTCCGGTCCCTATTTCTGAAACTCTTGGGGGAATAGGTGGGGTTGGGCGGAGATGGGGCACGGTCCCCTCCCCCAGTCCGTCGGCTGCTGCGCCTGCTGGCATGCTTGAATAGAACATTGGCGCCTAGCTTTCTGAGGAGAAGCAATAAATTCTGCTTGGCTCTCAATGCCCTCCGTTCCCCCCCCCCCCCACCGAACCGTTGAGCACACCGTCCATCAAGACCGTTTCCTGCAAGACTGACATGATTTCACAGTGTTATTGACCCCAGTGCATCCACCTCTGCGTCTGTCCTGAAGGGAACCACCCTCAAAACCAAATTCCAGATTCCACCCTCTCTCATAAATAAGGGTCTCATTAAACAAAACCATTGTCCAAATTGTAAGATAGGGTTAAGACGATTTGGTCTAACTTTGGTTTCCTCCTGTTTGGAAAGTAGTCTTCTCTTCACAGCAACAATGTGATTTAATTGCTATAAATAGCATCTGTAGTGGATGCCGTGCTCTTTGGATAAGAACTTGCAGCCTGTAACGTTTTTTAATGTTTTTTTTTTCTTTGGTTGTTGTTCTGCATGATGTCCAACAGGGGGCAGCACTAGTCTGAAGGTAGGTGAAGAGGCACTAGGCATTTGATCAAGCTGCCTTCTCATGCAGATCAAAACAGCTGTCCCATTTACTCCCCCCAAAGGCTTTGGTCAGGAGAGACTGGGAGTTAACACCAACCAATAGAAGGTGAAAACAAATTGAAACTGTGCTGGAGGTGCTGGTTGATTCCATGTGCTGGTGGTCCCGTGACCCCGTCCACTGGCCCAGCTGTCTGCTGCCGTGTGTGAAGTTCTGGGGGCTATTTTCAGCGGGGTGTCAGTGGTCTGTGACAAATGGGAGCCAGTTTAGTGGAGGTGCTGAATGAATTCCTGGAGAATTGGTGTGTGTGTTGGGGGGGGGGGGATCTGTGACAAGATTTATGAGGCTCTGATGGTCTGGGGTAGCCTGCGACAGTAGGGAGATCTCACCTACCCCCCCTGGAATTTCCGCTAACATTTTGGGGATTAAATCATAGAAGTACATAGCAGCCTTGACAAGAACTGCAGGTAATGCCTGTAATTAGAGATCGGCCGGTATTAACTGCATGTTAATAAATCTTTTGTGGTTCAATGTGTATTTACTGTTCAGGCAGTGTTTGGATTTTGGTCTAACATAAATAGACACACTGAAAAATAATAAGAATAATAATAGACTGTATAATTTGGAATCGATTCACGTTTGTTTGCGATGCATGATCTGACCACTTGGACCATTGTAAATATTTGGGGAACATTAACATGTTGTTTACGTTGCTCGTTTAAAACGAGAGCAGTGTTGGAGTGCGGTAGGTAGACACAGCGGGAGTGCTGTCTGATAGGCCGGGCGCGTGGGCGGCCGCTGTTTGATGGTGGGGAGTCTGCTGCCGGCCGCGGGTCCGACTATTGACAGGAAGTGAAAGCAGAGCCAGCTGTCTTCTCCACCGGCTGCCTAATAGCCCTGCTGAAGGACATGGTAACCCTGACAACAGGGGCGTGAGGACAGCATGGCTGTCATCTTCTGTCACCATTGGTGCTCGGTTTTCCTAATTGTCCCATGGATTCAGGACGGCGGGGTTTCAGACCGTAGTGGGCCAGCTATAGAGCTTACACCACACCTCAGCCACTGTGCGCGGACCAGGCAGTGCACAGATCCAGTGCACTGAGCACTGCTAAGAGGCTAATTAGCCCCCAGTACGGAGCAGCTCAGACGAAAGGCACGCACAAGCATGTGATTTAATACTTTCGCAATCTAATGCTGTGGATCGCTGCATACCTTCCTTACGTAAATGCAGATTCGGGGAACTAATTCATCCAGTAGAGATGCCGGCGTCCAAATGTCACCCTTTTGATTGGCAGGATGGTTTGCCTCCTAATCCTCCCCCTGACAGTAGGGATGTTTCAAAGCGCTGACCTCGTCGGCAGTTAGGGCAGGGTTCGATTCCACAAGTGTGCAGGTCCGGTATCCACCGTTCGCCTTCCCGGTCCACGTGGAGTGTTTTTCTTTTCTAGAGTGTAAGTAAGACTCATGGACAAGTGATATTTGATAATTACAGATGAAGGGCTTGTTGTTACTGGCTGTGATCCCCTGACCCGGTTCTGGTGGTGCAAATCAACCCGGGAGATCACATTGATGGCACCTGGAAAGGCCCCCAAAGTTAAAGGGCACTTTCTGCCTCACCACAGCGTTCCGAGAATGCTCTGCGAATGTTTCAGCGGCGTACACTAATAAGGACGCACTAATAAGGACATGGCTCATTGCAGGAGAGTTACATTTTCCAGTGTTACCTTAGCACATGGTCCAAATAAGAGAATTATTGTCATTTTCCTCTTGCTTAAATTGGCTCAGTTATCTGGGTATTCCCTACACGGACTTCTGGTCCTAGTTAATGGAAAAGGGCCTTGTAATTAATGTGCTTTCTGAGATTTGTCCAGATTACCTCTCATCTGACATTATAGTTTGCTAGTATGCAGTGACACATATGGAGAAAGCTCCCCCCCCCCCATACCCTCCCCCATTTTCAAGACACAACCGCAGTGATGCCGAGATGCGTTGGCGTGTAGGAAGATTTGAGTGCCCCATTTCCTGTTTACTACTCAGGCTCGTGTACCCAGGCTGGTTCCTAGGGGGGCTGTCTGAATTCACAGCCAGGACTCAGTTTGGCTAATCAAGAGCAAAATGAAGCAGCAGTGGGAGGAGCCAGTGCCATTGTTTCCAGAAGGGGATACTTCCTGGTTACCTGCAGCTGTATCTCCATTGGCGGTGCAGTGATAGGCCAGGTTATCAATGGGAGGAGCCCCGTTGCCCTGGGTGACAAACATACTTATGTGACTGGCAGTGCAGAGTCCAAAGGACAACTGAAATGAATAAATGCTAGTTCCAGGAACAGAAAATTTCCTGTGCTGTGGCAGACAGGCATTTTCATAGCACATTGCCATACGGGGCAACCTTGGGTAGGAGATACAATGGCTTTGGCTACATACAGCGACACTGTATTACCCAGCTGTGTAACGAATGCACGATACGATTTGGCTTCCTACACTTGTAATGCACAGACAATGACTGGGTCAATCTGAGCTTTAATTAAACACCTGTCAGGCTTTAGACAAATATTTACCAACAACAAGTGCCAGAAATGACTTTCCAAAATGGGTCAGAGTTACTGGGAGGACATTTAAGCAGGACAGGTTGCCCTCAGAAGCAGTACGAGGAACCAGCTTTGTGCTACTGCAGGACAGCCTTGTGTCGTTAGCGACCGGAGCCTAAGGTGCTGCTGAGTTCTGTCTTTAAACTCTATTCTGTTTCCCTATTCCGGGGAGACCCCCCCAGTCACTTTGGGGGCTGGTTCCCAGCTGGAAGTTTGGTATTTTGCAGACTGATGAGTGGATTCACACTGTACTGCTTAGTGTCACTCACCCAGTCAGTCATTCAAACCAGACTGAGAACCAGTATCGTAGGTCAAAACTGCAATGTTAGGAAAACATAAAGGGTGATTGAGTGACACCCCCTGGAAAATTACGTGTCCAGTGAGAGGCAGCAGGATAAGCTGGAGATTAAGGAATCGTTTGGTTAAACAGACTACGCAGAGTTAACCAGGTACTGCTCGGAATGGCCCTGTAAACGCGAATGTGGCTATGCCAGAACATGGCGTCACACAAGTCAAGTCGGGCTCCAGACAGAGCTACAAATAGGTACTGCAGATCCAGATGAGGCTTCCTGAATGCAGCTTTCATTACAGCTGTATTAAGAATATAATGGTGCATTTATAATTTCTAATAGGGATTTTCCAGTTACAGATTCACTCATCAGATAAGTAGGAGTAGGATCTAGTAGTCAAGGGAGCAGTTTAGAACAGTTGTCCTCAATGCAGGTGTCAATGTGATTTTACTTGTCAGCTAATTGTGAAAGCCTTCAATTACCTGGCAAAGACGTGTAGGTGTGGACTGTATTGGCTGGGGACTGGGTTGGAAAACCACTGCGTTTACAGCCTTGGAACCAGAGTAGCTGGTTAACCTTTTTTCTGACAGTAATAACTGGAAGTGGAGTCTGCATTGAAGAAACATTATCAGCAGATGCATCAGACGTGCTGGCCGGCCAATAGTCTGCCCACATACCACACATCTTTTGGCCGGTGGCCAAGACTATGTTGTGAAAACCATTCATAAGGTCATCGTTTTATATAATATAATTCAGACTATGATGTGTTTCTTGATTAGTCATGGTGGGAAAGATACAAAGATAAAATGTTGCCCTGAAGGATTTGTAGCCTGACACGAAAGCATGACCACCTGTTAATTAACAGTGCAACCTATACAGTTTACACAGTGAAATTCTTGTGCCACACTTGCAAGAGACAGGACTGGTGCATGCTGGGATATGACAACCACTAATACAATAATAGATGAGACGTTACTAGAATACAACATAGGAAGTGAAACATAAATACTCAATAAATAGCTTGTGCACTGGTGAAGGATGTGCAAATACCCACAGAAGTAGACATTGCTGGTAATGTGCAAAAGTGGAATTTTAACAACAGCATGCAGCAAAATGTGGTGGGTAATCAGATGCGGGTCAGTGGTTATTTAGTAACATTATAATGTGGGCAAAGATGCTGATAAGAGTGGTGTTTTTTTTTTTTCTTTGGTTGTTGTTCTGATAAAGGTAAGATCCCGGTTATAATCTGTTTCCTTGTTATGAACTCCACCAAGCCTCGTTTCTGATGCACGGTCACAGTCTTGTCATTGCATTTGTCACATTTATTACATCCATCACATTCCGCACATGTAAATATGTGATGCCACCAACCATTCTTCTGAGCAGAGGTTGAAAGTTCAGGTCCAGAACATAAAAATCCAGACCAAGATTTTGTTTCAACCAACCAGCTGAGAATAGAGTCACATGTACAGAGGACTCAACTGGTTGGTTGAAACGATATTTTGGTCTGGATTTGTACTTTCAGAACCTGAACATTTCATCTCTGCTTCTGAGTTTGCTGGCCACCCTTCATTCCAGCCGAGCCTTGGGATCCCAGATCTACTTGGGGGAAGTGATGAAGGGATGGGGGTGGATCCTCCACGGAGCATGAGTACAGGGTGGAGAGGCCCTGCACGTGTACTGTGCCCTTTCTGCAATCCACAGCAAGTTTGTGAACATTGAGACCCTCTACTCCAACTACCATAGTGCAACTTAAATGAAAATCTCAAGCCGCCGCTCACCCAACACCTCAGTTCCTGAGTGTACTGTCTCCTTCTCCTTCACTGAGGGCTCTCCTAGTTTGTTTGATACCAGTTTACTCCAAGGTGCCCCCTCACACCCACTACCCAAACCGGGGCCACTTCCAGCATGGGTGTTTTCTCTCATTCTTCCCTTCTTCTTCTTTGTGTGCCTCTCTTCTCCACTTCCTCAGCTGTCTACCACAGTTGTCCACATCTCTCTTGGAGTAACTAAGTGAGCATTCAGCTCTGATGTTGACCCCCTATCCACAATGCCACATTGTCCTGGATGCTCCACCATCTGTTGAGCATGACAATTCCTGAGCAAGCACTGAGTCTTCAACAGACAGGGCGGTGTCACTGGTGTTTTGCATTGGTGTGGTTTGGCATCTGTTTCACATGCTTGTTAGTGCTCCCCTGTCACTGAAAGACCTAAAATGTGTGGACCTGCAGAACTGTTTCCAAAACCCATGTGTGCCTATAAAGGAGGGAGAGGAGATGGGTCACTGGCTATCTTGGCAGCACTAGCAGAGTTTTGGGGATTGTTTAGCTTAATTGGCATCACCCTCGCCTGCCTCTAGGCTTGACAAGCCACACATATACAGCTCCAGGCTCCAGCAGATCCTTGGCTGCAAAAGGCCAACGGCCTTGGTGGCACGAGATCAAGCTGCAATAGAGAAGCCTGTACCGACTGCACACAAAACTGTGTTAATGAGTGGCAATGGCGGTGGGAGGGGGCTTGTGCGCCGGAAATGCTAAACAATAGTCGGAGTGAAACGAAATTCAGAAAGGAGCGAGCAGAAAAACTGTGGGAAGAGTCCGAGCACTCAGAGACGATCTGGCACCGCATGGGAGCAGGACGTGCTCACTGCCCAGAGCTGGCATGCTTCGACGCTACATTGGCGTTGCGCAGAAAGCGATTGAGTTGCATCAAATCTTCTGGCCAGGGAAATCCTAGCAGCCCCACCATGGTTTATTTCTGGCTGAAACAGGACCTCAGTCGCAGGGTCATCAACACAAAGGGGAATTGTTCGGCTCTCACTCCCCGTTTGTGGAGAGAAGAGAGGAGTGGAAAAAGCAGGGCAGCCAGAATTATGAAAGTCTGAAACATGTGTTGCTCATTCAGAGCTAAAAAGCTGAAAGGCGTATTCTGGGAGGAGACTCGTGTCCTGGTCGGATCTTTGGAGGCTTGTTTTCTGCCTTCTCTCATAAGATCCTGCTCCGGTGATAAGCGGGGCTCTGAAATCCAAGCCCAACGCAACGATGTGAAACCTTGTAAACTTGCATGTTTTGGTGAGTGTTCCGGGCACAAAGCGGCAATAAAAACTGCCGCCTGGCTGCACAGCACATGACGTATGCAAGACAAGTCTTTAGGACTGAGGAGGTGATCTGCTCCTGCAGTGGGCAATGCCGTCCCACTAGGGCGAGCATGGCCATTTGCAAAGGCAAATAGCATGCTGATTAGAGGGTACATGGGCACAGCTGCATTACTGGAAAATTCTGGCGTACCACCGCATTTGCATATTTGTTATACGTTAGTGGTTGTGGCATTCACACTGCCATACAGGCCGAGAGTGATGGGAGTATGGCAGGAAGACCTTGGAAGGGCATACCCTAGGTTGACGTCAATGAGACGTCAACGAGACATCAAGCGCTGTTGCTGAATGCTGGGAGTCCCTACGGTTGGCCAGATCTGGATGGATGACCTCCTTCTCTGACCGAGTCCTACAGGCCCAAAGAATGCATCTATTCAGACCTCGAATGAATGTGAAAGTCATATGCATGCATGCAGGGGGTATTCTGTTTCTTTGGACAAATGCCCAAAAGCTATAAGACAAGTGTCTGGCATCCAAAAAGATGAGCACTTCAAGGGTAACAGAAGGAAGAGAGGGTCTGTTGAAATCAGCTTCCTCCGGGGACCTTTGAAAATGAGATCACTTTTTAATGAACGTTGAGTTGAGTCAAAAAAACGGAAATGAATGGGGCAGCGGCAGCTGTGTCTGAGACGAGGTAGCCACCTGAAGCTGCCAATGGACCAAAGGTCAGCAGCTTCTCCTGGTCTGGGCCTGTCTGCCGCTTTGGCTTTGTGGGAATTTGCTCCTGGACTCCTTGCCAGAGACGAAGCTCCATGATTAATGGCTGCCTTTGTGAGAAATGGGATCATCAGGGATTGGTTCACTGAGGGCAGCTCAGGCAATCCAGTGGAGGGTTGGACAACCTGCAGCTGAAATCATCTCTAATAAGCAAAGTGTCGTGCCATTAACAAGGACAAGAAGGAATTGGGAGGCTGTCACTTTAGGCAGGTATAACAACAACAACAACAAATTTATTTTTGTATAGCGCATTACCACAACATTACATCGTCTCAAAGCGCTTTACAGCATCCCCACCCAAAGCCCCCAGGGAATAAGCCATAGGCGACATAAAATGAGGGACTAATTGGTCTGCTCATGATAATCAGACACTGCAACGATGTGGTATTTCTCCATCTGTCTGTTAAACCAGTATAGTATGGGATAGAGTTTATAATGGGATCATCCCATTTTGAAAGCATAAAATGCCTTGATCCATGAAAATACTTAATTGGCCCATATTTTAATACACATTTTGGATTCCCCCCTCCGCTTGGAAAATTTTATCATGGGGGAACCCCTCCACAATCCATGGATATCAAAGCGTCGGGTACCCCTACTGTAGGCATGGGGGGGAAGGGTATTTCTGGCAACCTAGGACTGGATTGGTATTAAAAATCCACCCTGGATTTTGGGTTTCTTCTTCAATTTTGCTGGTGGTTTTGGCTGGGAGGCCACTATAAAATTTGCCAGCCAAAACTGGTTCATGCCAGATGCCAGTCCAGGAATGCCAGTTCATCACAGGGTACACACATGATATTTATTTAGCGTTATGTGCTTTGTGAAAATATTATGAGATCCTGTCACCCCCTTTCTGCCACCATGCAAGCTGTAGCTGAATCGGTTCTCAGGCAGAGGACTTCAGCGAGTAGCCGGCGTGTCATGAAAAGCCCGCGGGCCAAAGAACAACAGGCCATTGGGGAAGAGTCCGAGAGCTGTGGGCGGGAGGGGAGCTTGACTTATTCATGCCGCAGGAATGTTCTGGATGGTGGCTTGCTCTCTGGCTGCTTGTTAATGAAACCAGAAAGGGGAACGATGTGATTTCCGGTGATTGTTTGCAGAAGCTTAAAAACTGAACAACTTTGTCACTTCCACATATGTCCAGTGAAAATGGACATTTTTTTTCACAGTCTACGTTCGGTATATGCAGACATATCTTCAGCACATATCTGCAGCATGCATTGCCATATATGTGATGTATTGATTTAACACTAATAGTTTTGTTAATGTTGCAAGCTATGTCCCAACTGCGTTGCTGTAGCAGATGCACGTGCGCACGTGCAAACCAAATAATGAGAGACGGAATACGGGATGCAGGAGAGACTTTGGATAGGATGCAGGAGACACCATGAACATGGTGTAGGGGATGTTATGGGCAGGATACAGGAGACACTTTGGACAGAATGCATGTGACATTGTGGACAGGATGCAGGGGACATTGTGGACAGGATGCAGGGGACATTGTGGACAGGATGCAGGGGACATTGTGGACAGAATGCAGGGGACACTGCAGGGCAGACATTCATACATTACGAAAATTTATAAACAACAATTTGTCTAAACCAAATTTTGGACTTTGTCGAGGGTGGGGGCTTGGATATGTCTCTTCTCAAATCATTTGTTCATGGCCAAGCAGGGCATTCCTGCTCCAGGAGACTTCCCCTCTCGATGGTTTGCGTGCTTCTTCCATAGCAGGCGATGGCAGCGTTAGCATCAGACTCACAGGTAGCTCAGCTTAGCAGCTACTGCTGCCGTGCACTTATGATATCCTCCCATGTGCCAACAGATTGTGCACCTTTGATTAATGGCGTCGCTGTTTTCCCTGCTTAATTACACAGCCATTCTGGCTATTCCAGTGCCGTGCCTGGCATCCTATGAACGGGAGCTTTATTCCAGTGAAATAAACAGTCCCAAATGCGGAGGCACTATCAGCTCTCAGGGGGCCAGAGATGACACTTTTACTGTGACAACTTACAGCATATTTTCAGCAAATTTATTGCACTTTGAAAAAAATTGCACTTATATATGACTAAAATATTGTGTTCTCAGGCAGAGATGATCAAAATACAGAACATGCTGCATCTTATGACAAATAAGTTGGATTTGGATGAGATGTGAACAGATACTTGAATATTTTTGAGTTTTTGTTGATATGGTCATTATCTACAATGACTAGTTATGGGATATCGAATGCAGGGTTCCAGTGATCAGGCACACAGGAACCGGGGGCGGGTTATTCTAGGGAACACGTACCTCCTGGTATTTAATTTTGGCTTTATTCACCCCCCATCAAAGAAAAAGCATTTGCATTTAATTTATTAATTACCAAACTCTGTCCCATTGCCTCGGCAGGGACACCCTGGATATGGGGACCATTTAGAGCTTAGGTGTCTAAATTGGCAAGCTAATAAGTTCTCGCTTAACATATTACAACTATTGTGTGGAGAGACAGCACAGCAGACGGTGCAGATACATGCTCTGTGAGTGTGAGTTAATCGCCCTGTTTTAGACTCCGTTTCAATTCCACGTCTCAAGTTCAAGTTTCAAGCTTTTATTGTCACATGTGTTCCGAAGAACGCAGTGAAATTCTTGTGCTGCAGTTGTAGTGTAGGGGACAGATGCGTGGGGGAACCAATCAATGAAGGACAAAACAGCAGCGGAGGGAAAGAGAAGGACCCCACGACGTCGGCCTGACAACCAGGACGTCTACGGAAACAGATTCCTCAAGAAAACCAGGTCCATCCTCAAGGACCTTAGCCATCCCAACCATAAACTGTTCTTACTCGTCCTGTTATGGAAACGGCACTGGAGCATAGAAGCGCAAACAGTTTCCACCCTCAGGCAGTGAGGCTACTCAATAGCTGATAACGCCATTAGAATGGACAATTTTATTTATTTTCAGTTGTATTTATTTATTATTATTATTGTTGTTGTTTGTGTTATAAATTTGTACTGATTCACTCTTTCTATTTACTATTTTACTTATTTATTTCTCTGATATATTTCTCTTATATATCACTTACTATAGGGAGCATTCTGGGAAATTCCTTTCATTGCCTCTGCTTGCTGTGCTGTTTTGCATTTCACAAATAAACATTGATTTGACTTGACAAAGACAATGTATGACATGTCAAACTCCTTGCCCCCCCGCCCCCCCCCATGCCTGCTGTGAGACAGTGGTTTCCAGTAGCTGCCTGTCACCTCCCTGGGCACCCAGGAGACCGTGAGTTGCAGGTGACGCTTGTTATTCAGGGGCTCCTGGGTGCTGAGCTTCTGCCCTCACAGAGGACTGTGGAACCATAACTTCAAAAATCCCCGTAATTTCCTGATTTTTATTTCATTTTTTCCCCAGATGGAGTCTGGATGGAATGAAGTAAAAACAGCGAGCAGGTTTTTGATGAGTTGGGTCAGAAAAATGCCAAACAGCAGCAAGCGGAGACTCGTTCGGGACGCCGTTGGGCAGCTCCGCCTCCTAGGTTTCTAGGACTGACAGCCATTTTCCTTCTCCTTTGGCTACCAAACAAGGATACATTCAATGTCAGAATACCAACATGTGGCCAGTATGTACTCTTAGTTCCACAGAAGCTGGGAATTCAGCAAGCTGCAAGTGAAAAATGCACAAATAAAAATATAACTTTGGTTTGTTGGAACCAGCATGGTTATTCTTGTCCTTTGTTCTCATTCTATTTGAATTTCTGTACATGCTATCCTATTTTTATAATTCCCCTTCAGATTACTCACAGCCTTTTTGACAAAAAGCCCAGAATGTAAACCTCTCTGACTGGGATTTGAGGTCTGGAGATCTGACCAACTCCTTCTCCACCCAGACAGCCAGACGCTCAGCTTATTTTGCAAGCTCATGCTCTGTGTCTGGATGAGACCGGAACTGGAACCTTGTCTTGTCTTCCAGGTCGTCATTGATTATAGAAGACATACCCCCATAGGGGGATGGGGTCATTTCCTCTCCACAATGACAGCTGTGAGGCTCAGTCAAACTGGTATGGGACACTGGAATCCTAGTCCCCAGTGGGCTCTGCCATAAGCAGCGGATGGTCAGATGTTTATGGCATTCCTGCGGTGTGGGGATGAGATCTCCATGTCCCTCATAAAAACGGAGCGGGTGCTTTAAAACAGTGGACCTTTTGCAGCCCTAAATGGGCGGAGTCTCCGAGACGGCTCAGTGGAGCAGTGACTCACCTCGCATCCCGACAAACTGACTCCTTTTGTAAATACACAAATTGGTAAATTTGTAAAATGGAAAACATCATTAGAGCATATTTAACGCTGCAGAATGCATGCTGGCTTGGGGGTACTGGTGACGCAGAGGCGTGCGGTACTGTGATTCACGCCGCTGGCTGTCCAGCTGCCTCTTGTTAGTGTCTTTATCTGTCTTTGTGTTTTTTAGTTTATCTGAGCTTTGCTGTTTGATGGAATGTTTCATTTATTCCTACCTGACTCCCCCCACCACAGGCTTGAGGATAAAATCCAGTTATTGGACCTGAATCTTTAATTTTTATTACTCTGAAAAACAGACCAAACGGGGGCTGGGGGTCTGGGTAACGGGGACTGCAGTGGCTGCGGGGATCTCGGATCTGGATCTCTGGATGCGTGAGGTGGGTTTATGGATCTTTCCGTCACACCCCCGTGCGCCGTTCAGGGATAAGGCAGATGTCAAAGATTGTTATTGCGGGGGGGGGAATGAATGGGGTACAAGACCTGGGGAACCATTATAGCAATCCTGATGTGATTTAGGAGGAAGACAAATAAGAGAATGATGATGGCTCTGCGGCATTAAGATTAAAATCATTTTTATTGAGTCCAGGTGAGGGGCCAGGGGGGAACTGGGATTAAAATTCATTGGGGGATCGGGGGGCTTCCACGATGAATTTTGCCAACCAGGGAAAATGCCCAGTATGCCACATGGCCAGTCCAGCCCTGCAAAGGGGATAAATGTACGTAGTGTGCGGATGAACATGCATATAGTGCAAAACCGACAAAGTGCAGCGTGCAAAAGAGCAAATAAACGTGATGCTAACCAATTAAAAAGTACACAGTACACTAACAGAATATCCTGAGCGTCGCTTAATGCAAGCTTCAGCAAGCATCATAATTAGCTTGTTTTTCCCCCCACCAAAGCCATCGGGTGAGCGTGTATGCTGAGATGAATACCCTTGTGCAACCGCACAAAGCTGCTTACATGTAACGAGCTGAAGTCCCACCTGAGTTAATTAGCTGCACGCGACACTATAGGAAACCGAGAGTCCAGCGGTACCTATGGCTGTCCGTGTTGGTGGTCCTGAGAGCTGATTCGCTGTGCTCTGGGTCATAGTTCTGCTCATGGATGAAGGTGAACTCAGCGGGAAAGTGTGCTATTGTGACAAGTCCGAGTTCAAAGGTTAGTGACTTATCAGCATGTGTTTATAAACATATACACGGTAGACACTTAATTACCTACACCTGCTTACTATTGCAAGCATCCCGCTCCTTCAAACAATGAGTCATATGGCTGCAATTTAGATCAGGTACGCTGAATGATCAAAGCTATTTTGAATGTGGTAAAGGGTGTCAGAGTTTACAGAGAATGGCGTGATAAACAACAATCAGTTGCTGAAAACAGAGGTAAGAGAACTTGTTTAAGCGAACAGGAAGGCCTCAAGTACAAACATAATAATTTGTACTTGCGACTCAGAGTTCATGGAATGTCACCTCTCTGGTGGGGAAGGAGCCTGAGCTTGTGCGTGAG